CTCAACATCATGAAAATTAAACCTTATTTTCAATAAGCAATCCTGAAAAATATTTGGGGCTGCTTAACTTTTTTCCAGGTGTATATATTTATCACTTTCTGACGTGAAAAACTGAAGATTACTTCAATTCATCAGGTGTAACTAAAAGCTTAGTATTTTACGTCAAACTAAAACATACGAAACGGTCAATATGTGAGTAAGTAACGTTATACATTTTTTTTACTTGTGACTAGCTCAAGAGAAGGTGTTATTCTAGACCAGAGAAAAGGAGCATAAGAAAGTTGTGGAACAAACTTTATAACTCGAACCAGCGTGGTGGTGGTGGCGGTGGTGGGGGTGGAACTTTTGTATATAAAGTAAGAAGATATGTAATTCTGAAAGTTAACATCAGTTATGCTTTTCGGTTTAATAAACTTTTATCACTGGTATAAAATTTAACCGTTTCTTATGTAAATAAATCACCTTTACTGATTTGATTTCTAGCCCATCACTGATGACAACTGTTTTGCCCGCCAGTGGCACAGCGGCATGTCTGCGGACTTACTAGGCTAGAAACCGAGTTTCGATACCCGTGGTGGGCAGAGCACAGATGGCCCATTGTGTAGCTTTGTGCTTAATTCCAAACAAACAAACAAACAACTGTTTTATTTAAATTTATTGGAAAAACTCATAGAACCTCTGCATACAGTCGTGTAAATTTCAAGAAATTCAGTAATATGAGTTATAAAATCAATGAAATCATTTTATTTGACACTAAAACATCTACAAAAAATCTTTACAGAGATGGAAATAATAGATATTTCATAGATAAGTGTTGATAGAAGTATCGGCAGTTTATTGCTATAGGTGAGATGAGGTATGTTAATGTGAGTAAAGTCATTAACAAATACATATGTTTCTGCATATATAACATTAAATCATGTGCAGTTTATAATGAATTAGGAAGGTTGTCGAAAAAACTCAAAGGTATTTTAAATGATTTAAATAATGTTTTTACTCACACTTATCGTATCTAACTTCTGCGATCATAATATAATAAATTAGTGTAATACGTTTTAACGCATTAGTATAAGTATTTTAAGGTTCTTGCCCTATTAATCAGTTATCGTGGCGTAAATATATCCTTACATTTACACACACACATATATATACGGTAATGTAAATTTATATTTTGATATAATAATCTATAACTCATTTTCTGGGACAGCGGTAAGACTATTGACCTAAAATGATCAAATCTGAGGTTCAGTTGTGTACTCGTGATCGAACCGTTTGTTTAAATATACGAGGATTTGATCCATTATTTTCTCATAAAAAACAACATGGTGTGAAAGCTAGGGATAATTTTTGTCATCTTCTAAATTAGAGAAAGAAAGATCTAAGTGTGAAAAAAACAACAACAGCCGATATTCAGAATCGTATTCTTGTTAGGCATGTGTGCAATAAGAAATTGTTGCCAAACTTTATGTTATAAATAAGTTCTACACAGAAAAGTGGCACCATGTACATTTCTAATAAGCTCTGAGAGATAATTTGGGAGAAAAGAATTGAAATTCTGGATCCTGAAATCAAACCAGGTTTTTTTGCTCGAATTCCTTTTCGAATAAATGATAATTATTTTTCATTGGTTGTTCCCCGTTACACCAAACATGCTCGCCCTTTCAGCCGTGGGGGCGTTATAATGTGACGGTCAATCCCACTATTCGTT